TGAGAGATACAAAAAGGTGTTTTTTAAGTCAAGTTTTCACACAAATTAACTATAAAATAGTAAAATATTATGGCAAAATTTCAAGCATTTTCAACAAAAAAATTACTATTTGTTTGTATTTGCACAAGTTAATTATTTTTCATTTACCTAAATAGAAAGTTTTTTAAAAACGATTCATGTTTTATATGTGAGTACAGTTAGTCTAACATCTTAGGAACAGCCTGTATGTAGTTAAAAATTTTATTCAAATTTGCAATTTTATTTAGAATTTTAATTTAATTGGTGTTTAGTGAATTGACAATTTTTTTTTTAATGAAATGAATAAAAAAATGCTTTTGTCAGTTGCGGTTGTCCACCAGGTGTTACCTTGTTCAGCAAACGAGATAATCTCCGACGTCCGTCCGTAAAAATCGTCAAAATCCATCGTCTCCACCGTGGCCGTCCTGGCGCTCGTCGTTGATATATTTTCTTCACTATTAAAGTTTCTAAAAAAATCACTGTTATCCTCGGCTCTCGACAGGGTTTCCATGATAACTTCTCTCGGAAGACTATAAGTAACATTCGGCTTGTGCCTCAAGCCCAATTTGGACAAAATTTGTCTTTTGATCGCTTCCAGTCTCAGATTATCCGCTTTGACCTCGCGATCGGTGATGCAATTGGGGCACGTGGAGATCGGCGGCGTCTTGGAGCTCTCCTCCTCCAGCTGGGCCACGTAGATGTCGTCGCCGTCGTCGTGGCGGTGCCGCAGCCGCTCGCCGCCCGCCACTGTGCTCCAGAGGAGGTACAGGCATGGGATGGCCCATATGGGCCCGCCCATGGCTCTTCTCCGGTACAACACTGCCATTATCTGGGGGTGATCTTCATGGGAGAAGACTTAACCTTCTCGCATTTTTGATGGTTGCTTTTCGTTAGCCAACTTTGGATCATCATCCCTCACTGCGCACTTGAATTTAGTTTTACTCGAGTCCCGCGCGAAAATTGGGAAATTTTCTAGGGAAATGTTGAAGTCGGCGTCCCGATGCACGTTTGTATCTGGCGGCGTGCCGATCGCAACTGACTAGAATTGGCCACTCTCCTCCTCAAGTGCGACTACATGTCTAGAGTGCCGTGGCTAGAGTCCTTATTAAACACTGACGGGAAGCTTTTTCAAGAGAGGATCGCTAACACCTTTGTACCGAGTCGATAATTAGGGGGGTTTCCAAAGGGAGGGCGAGACAAGTGCACGATTAAAGGGGTGACGAAAGGTTCAAATCATTTTATTACAATAAGATTTATTACGAGGGGCCGTAAATCCACAATGATTACTTTAGCACTTTTACTTTCTCGATCAATCATGCTTTATTGCGACATTCGCAACTTTGCGACATACAGGGTGACTCAATTTTTACCACCGCCAACAAAAACTATGGTGGCAGTAACACAGTAAAATTTTGACTTATTGATCGGGAATAAATTAAATGCACAATATACAGAGTGGTTATAAATGATTTTCATCTAGCCAGCTGTGAATTTTTCATGTAAAATAAAAAATGCCGCTTTACGAAAATAGGGGTACCTATCTATTTTAACTCAAAATTAAAAAATCGTCTTTTACTAAGCGTCGACTTCGAAAATAGACTTCAATTATAAACTTGTTTTCTTCCAAAGTATACATTATTATCAATTATTATTGGAAAATAGTAGAAACAATAAAAGTTTAATTTACAACAATTTATTATTAATTAATAAGTGACACTAATGACAGAACTAGAGCTTTCAAAAAAGTAGAGCGGCACAAATAAAGTTACATGCAAAAAAATTCTAAAGCTGGCTAGATGAAAATCATTTATAACCACTCTGTATTATTTAAACAACAAGTATTTTTGATCTGTATAAATAATAAATGCACATTAATGACAATCAATTTCATATTCACACATTTACAAATGTTCAAAAACAAAATTGTGGTTTCAGGAGCAAACAGTGCAATTAATTAGACTGATTACCATTTGTGCACAGTTTCCACCTCTTGCTAAAATTATTCTTGCGCAGGGGCCTTTTACCGCCCTCCAATAATAATTAATATTTACTAATATAAAAATAAGTACCAACAATAAATAACATTCTTGCGCAGAGGCCATACATTGTTATGTAATCAAGACTGAACATTTTTTAAATTTCATGTTGTTTTACTAATTTTGATCAAAGTTACTGAGTGTTTAGTTTTTTACTGTGCAAAATTAATTAAATACTGATCTTTATCATTTTATACTGATTAAAATTGAATTATTTATTGATCGTTTTATTGATTTAGGTTGAATAGTATATTATATCACAAGGTAGAGAAGAAATTTTTTATATCTGAACTATTTATTTCCCGAAATGCAAGGCTCTACTGTGTTTTTTTACTACTAGCACATTTATACCCATTTATAGGGTGACTCAAGTTTTAGCGCTTCCAAAATTAAAAAGAAAAACCAATTTCTCGAAAATTGTATAAGTATGGGAATAGCAAATAATATACCTCCTATAGAGAAGAAAGTATATAAAATTAGATCTGAGTCATTTGATTTTCTTACTTGAAAATGTTTGCAATTTGCGATTTACGTGTATGTTATCTTATTTGAAGATTTACTTGAAACACTTATTTTTACGTAGAAGATGGGGTTTACCCTTACTGGTTTGGAAAATACACATGATGTGTAGAAGTTGATGTCATAGAAAATATTGATGATTAATAAAATTTTGCTTAGATACCTACATGTTTAATGTTATTTTAGTAAAGAAAATGTAGTAATTTAGATTTGTTTTCTTAGTTATAATCTTTTCCTTTTTTGTTTTTATTATTTTAATAGTTTTGTTTTTGCGAATTTCAATAAAATAATAAATAAATAATTTCAATGCAACAATTTGGTCTTTTTAGATACGAAATTGCATGTAACTTTTTAGCTCACAATCGTTTTTGAAGTTAGTTTTTCACGTAAAAATGGAATTTAAAAAACTGGCGTTTAAAAGTCATAATTTTTTTAAAATATCAAAGATGGCATAATAAAAAAACATTAGCATAAAGTATTGGTTTCTTCTAAGATCTTGATTCCGGCAACATTATAGTTTATTTTTTAATGGTCTCAAATATCCTACTGCAAAACTTTGCACAATTGTTACCGCATTTTGCTCGACATTTAAAAACAAACTTTTAAAAAGTTGTTAAAAAGTTTGATATTTTTTTAATTGGTTTTATGTTCTTATAAAGAACTAAAGAAGATAATTATTAATAAAATAGTTTAAAAACTTTGGTGGTCGGCTTCTTGCCTTCCACCTGAGTATATGAAATCTACTATTTTCTATATAAAAAATCATCTGGATTTTTTTACTATTTTAGTTTAATTCCAAAAAGCTGTTTTTTGGAGTGCGGATTAAGCTTAATTTTAATCAATTAATTAATTCACCCGATATAATTTACAAAAAATTTCTCATTAATTGTGAATTATACCAAGTGAGACAAGATTTATTCGCTCACCTTTTATACAGGGTGTTCTGTTTTTATTGTTACAAATTTAAACAGACGATAGAATATTTAATTTTAAGACAAAAGTTTTCTATTAACATTTTTAAAAAATGCCCTAAAAGGGGTGCGTTTTTTTAAAGAATTTTTCCAATATTTCAGATTTTTAATCAAGGGCGTCTTAAATGGCAAAACAAATTTAATTTTTATCTTGTTTATGGTCTATAACATAAATTTTAAAACTGATTTTACTCAAAATCGGTAAGTTGTATCAAAAAAATGCAAAAGACTTTTTTTTTATAAAAAAATATGAAAATTAGAATTTTTTTGCTGAAAGTGGCATGAAACTACAGGCAAAACAGTTATGATAGTTTTTTAAGTAATAGTTATTTATTAATATTAATTACTCGTAAGTGAGCGAAACGACTGTTTTTTTAATGCGAGAAAATGCCGTTTTTGTGGGGAAAAAAAGACAAAAAAAAACTTTATCAGAGTGCTAATTTTTTTTAAATTTACGCAAGTTCTCATATAAAATCGGTTTAAAACTTTTGTTGATGCAGCTATTTTTTGTCCTATGCATTTTTGATTATTTAATTTAAAAACAACCAATAAAATTTTTTTAAAACAAATAAATTGATTTATTGGCTTAGTTAGACTTAACAAATTAGATATTCTAATAATTTCTAAAAATTAAAAATACATTTTGTTTGTACTTTCAATAATTATAATAATTATTTATATACAGCGTGCGCCAGAACTAGCGCTTCAGAAAGGTAAGATACCAGGAACATACAAAAAATGTTAAAAAAAATTCTATCTATATCTATATCTTCTATATATCTTCTTAAGAAGAAAGCTTGTTAATTGTTAAGTTTAAGTGAATTATTTTCCATCAAAATTGAAATTACTGCATTTAGGAATCTAATATTGGAACTCATTTCTGATACACCCTATATTCTTCACATTAATTTTAAGCGAATAGAGTAATTTCAGACGAAATAAGCTTTTTTTGTCTTAATTACAAAACAAAAATGTATGTTCCAAGTCTTATCTGCATGTCACTTCTTCAAAAACTAATAATAAAGAAATAATATCACTATTTTTTTTCAGATTTAATTGAAAAAGTTATGAAATGTATACAGGTAGACTCAACGAATTGATAAAGTCTAATTTGAACTTTTTGAATCAAAATTTTTTGAAAATTTTTATAATACAGGGTGCGCCAGAACTCGCGCCCCAGAGGAAAAATTTTAAAAAAATTCCAACTATAAAAATTTCGAACTTTTGCACTTTAAGTCTATTTATTTCTGTTGAAAAAATAACTGAAATTTTTCGCTGGGGCGCGAGTTCTGACACCCTGTACTTCTATTTGTAATTAAATGATAAGAATTGACGTTTTCTTATCAAAAAAGTTATCAAAAGTTGGTCAGATATAGGGTACTTATTTCGACAAAAGTGTAGTTACTGATCTAGATTCTAAGGTAAACCCGGGAAAATGGTTCAGCAGCACATATAATAATTAAGAAATTTTTGAACTCACTTATTTTAATATTAACGATTTAAAAAAAATCCATAATAGTCTTATTTTTTGAAAGGTTTTTCTTAATTAATACCCGAAAAATAAATTAATTAGTTTCAACATTTTTGTAGTTTTTACTATACGAGAATTGTATTTCTGTGCAATA